AGTTCTTACCCGATCAAATCCTGCACAATTATTTACAGAAACTTGGAGAGCACGCGTTCTCAGGAACCCAAACGGGAAGTGCTTGTTGTTCTTGGCTATCACACTGATGGCAACAATTGGCTTTTGGCTTAAGCCAAATTATCTTCTATAAAAGTAAAGCACGGGCTCAGCTGTAACATTACTAGCAAAAGAGAAGGGGAAAGGAAATTTCTTACCTTCAATCCAATCAAAATTTCTCAATGGAGTCGAGGAGCAAAGCCATGGAAACAGCAAAGAATTATCTCACCACAGCAGCCTCCGTTGCCGCCTCGGCGATGCTCGCGCGCACCGTCATCAACGAATTCCTCCCCAGCGAGTTGCGCAGCTTGGCCTCCACGGGAATCCACAAACTCTTCGGTCGATTCTCTGCGGAGCACACCATAATCATCCGACAAACAGAAGGGCTCAATTCCAATGAGCTCTACGATGCAGCCAGCATCTACTTGCGCACCAAGATCTCTCCAACGATGAAGCGGCTAAGGGCGAGCAAGAGCGAGGACAAGAACAAGGTCGTCATCACCTTTGATGTCGGCGAGGAGATAATAGACATCTTTCAAGGCGCAGAATACAAGTGGAAGCTCGTCAGTCAAGAAGAGACCTCTAATTCCCGCTACGGAGAAACGAGCATCCAAGTCCGCTGGTTCGAGCTCAAATTCCACAGCAAGTACAAGGACGTGATGCTGGACAACTATTTTCCTCACATTCTAGAGCGATCAAAGGAAATCAAGGCGGCAGACAGGCAGCTGAAGATCACAATGAATAAATATGATGAATGGCAATATTCCATAGAGCTGAACCACCCTGCAACATTCGAGACGTTGGCTATGGACGCCGAGCTTAAACGGAAGATCATGGAGGACTTGGCAAGATTTGTGAAGAGAAAGGAGTACTATAAAAGGATTGGGAAGGCCTGGAAGCGTGGATATCTGCTCTTCGGTCCTCCGGGAACTGGCAAATCAAGCCTGATTGCCGCCATAGCTAACTACCTCAGGTTTGACATCTACGACCTCGATCTGAAGGAGATTTGCTCGAATTCTGAACTGAAGACATTGCTGGTTGGAATGCCAAACAAATCAATGCTTGTGATTGAGGACATTGATTGCTCCATTGATTTAACAAATAGAGATGAAGAGAAAGAAACAAAATCTAAAGATGATGAGGTAACACTTTCAGGAATTCTAAATTGCGTAGATGGGCTGTGGTCGACGAGCGGGGAGGAGAGGATCATCGTGTTCACGACAAACTACAAGGATCGGCTCGACCCGGCTTTGCTGCGACCAGGTCGAATGGACATGCACATCCATATGGGTCACTGTGGTCCAGATGGCTTGAGAGTGCTGGCTTCCAACTACCATTGTATTGATGATCACCCCATATTCGAGGAGATTGACGAGTTGCTGAAGGAGGTGGAAGTAACTCCAGCAGAAGTTTCAGAGGAGTTGTTAAGAAGTGTTGATGTTGATATCGCCTTACGTGGTCTTATCCAGCTTATACATAAGAAAAGAAATGAGAGTCAAGAAGAGAAACGCAGAGCAGAAGATTCTCAGGAAAACAAACAGAGAGATGGAGACAGCAAACAAATAGAAGAAGAGAAGCAGCATGTGGAATCTGAAACTGGGGTAAGCGACTATGAATCTATTGAGGAGATTATTGCAGATCAAGACTGGTCACAAGATGTTTAACAAACGTGTTTTATCTTAGTTAGTACTCTTCATGGCTCAGGCCAGCTTGTGAAGTCTGCCATGATTCATGGTTCGTAAAGATTATCGGTTGGCTAAAATTGTACAAAATTCTTGGATGATAACGCTTGATTTACATTCTTGATCAACCAAAATTCTGTGTGTTTCTGTTTTGTTACAAATTCAATTGTGATTTGTCCCTGTTTTGTTACAAGGCATATAACCAAGCATGAACACAATTGAGAGGTTAATTTTTGGTTTAATTCTCGAGTGTTTTTAATTTAAAACCCTTTATGAACTGAGCCAAATCCAACAGAACCAGCCCAACCCAACTGTCTTCTCACTTCCTCAGGTTCCTCGTAAATTTCCAAATCTGGACCTTAGGGCCAAGAGATAGGGCAAGTGAGAGGACAAATGCCGAGTGTGTGTCTGTGTGTGAGAGAGAGACGATAGAGGGCAGAAAAGCTTGCAATCATGCTAGAACGAACTTAGTCCCATAAAAACGAGCTGAGTTGAGCTTGTGAACGAATAAAGCTTGAAGATCAAATCAAGCTCGAGCCAAGCTTGAGCTTGAATAGCCTTCGGCTCGGCTCAACTCAATTCATTTGCATCTTTAATGAATGTATTTTAGATAAAACCCTTTTGGTGATTGGATAGTCTAGATGATTGGTCCGCAAAAGGACAGACGCTTTGGAAAATTATTAAATTTTTATGGGTGAGTGAAAATATTTTGTATTTAGAGAATCTTAGTAGATCGATTTTGATTATGATGATTGTAAAATCTCCATTATAGCTCTTTGCTCATAATATGTTATTTATACAATATATAATTGTACCCATGATGCATGTATAGTCACTAGAATCATTTTGGTGATTGGCTATTCGAGTTGATTCGCCCTCAAAGTTATTACTCTTTTGTGAATCATTATAGAAAATCTTTTAGTTTTAGAGTATCTTAGTAGATCGATGATGAATATATCAATATAAAAGTATTATGATAATGGCCAATGAGCCATTTTTGGATGTAAATACAATTTTCATGAAAGCGAATGTTTAAACATTTCAATACAATGATTATTATTTTGCCTATGAATTTTTATAAAATTTACCACATAATAAGAATTAGTGAACTATTTCTACATTAACTAATCTTGCATTTTGTAAGTTGATCATAACTTTAATGATACAATATCTCTCTTATAGATACGTTAGAAAGTTTCACCTATTAGGTTTTATTTGAGACAATTTTTTTGATGCTTTCTAAAATGTTTATACTAATACAAGTCAAATATTATGAAGAATACCATTCCTCATACTTGAGAAAAACATGAGCATAATATAGTAAGTGTGAGCTATAGAAATATTCCATGATGGAAATAAAAATCTTGAAATTCTTGAGTTGTTATTAAGCACCAGTGGTTCATCACGTCGATTACTCTCTTTATAAGAGGAAAGATTGGATAATCAAGAAGACAATTATTGGATGTCAATGGCTGACAGTAATTAGGTGCTAGGCCTTGGTAGAAGTTGAGCAATAGTTAGTGGTTTGTTAGGTCATTCCTTATAGGGCGGGAGTTGATGACCATGAAGGTGAACATTGGATTTTAGTGACATATATATGTTGGACAATAATAAAGTCGGACGATAGTCAATTGGGAGTGTAGAGTGATAATAGATAGAATGCATGTTTTTCTCTTTATAGGACGAGAAACTAATGATTAGGAAGATGAGTGTTAATGTTGGTTGATTGGTGAATATCTGATGTCATGCGAAGATCGATAGCTTGTTCAGTTATTCTGCTTATAAGTGATGATACCAATGACCCATAAAGCGAGCATTAGATGTCAGTGGTTATATAAATCAAAAATTGGTAGGCGTTAAATGACAAACAATTGAGAACATTAGACATAATGCAACAGTCATTAGTTTGCTTGATCTTTCTCCTTATATGAGAAACATTGATGAATATGAAAGTGGGCATCATAGGTCAATAGTCTCAGAATTCTATACTCTTTCTCGGAATCCCCCTAAAAAAATAGAATAAGAAGCTATCCACGGGCGGAACCCCTTTGATCCCGGGGGCAAAAAAAATTTTTTTTATTATATGATTATTTAGATAATTTGTCTCCTTCAATTTATTTTTTAGTCTTTATTATAAGGGTTTTTGGGCAATTGCCCCCACTAAAAGTTTTAAAATACTATGATCTTTAGGTCGAACCCCGCAACCCCCGACATATCTGCCAACAGTTACTTATAAGTTTGCCCCCCCCCCTAAAAAGTAGGCTGGTTTTGCCCCTGACTACACTGAAAAGTAGGCTGGTTCCGCCCTTGAAGCTATCTATAGATTTCTAGATAGCCTAAGCACTCATTTCCTTGAGAGATAAGATGCTTTTTGAATGCATATAGCATAAAACGACGTGTAAAGCTTGCTGGATGACTAATCAGTACAAATTAGATGCCGAGGTCGGATCAACCAAGCAAGCTGTACTGTACAATTAAAAAAGGTCTATCAGCCGACTTGCAGAACAACAAATGCAGTCGAAACATCTGGAAAGATGAGTACTCTATTCATTAAGATAATAAACAATGCGACTCTAATTGACCACTCTAATTTGGGATGGCTTAATCCTGAACATCCAAAACTGAAAGAAAGGCTCTGATGAGCACTTCAACGTTGATGAAGTCAAGCAAATGCAGCCAAATTTGCAAACGCTTGCCATGATAGCAGTTCTTGTCTTGAGCGGCAACTTGGAGAGCACATCTTCTCAGAAAAATGGGGAGGAAAGGATACCAATTCTTTATTGTTATTTATAATGCAAACGTGACTGGAATGGTTTATTAAACTTGTGGAGGAAGAATTTGAAAATGCAATTGATCAGACAAATGGAAAGCTTAGATTAATTAGAAGTATTCTTATCCTTTTCTCGGATATAAAATACTATATGATTATGTCTAATTTGAACGATTCTGGAACAAATGAGGAATATTATAATGAAATTAACCGCTCTGATTTTGAATGGCATAATCATGACCATCCAAAACAAGAAGGACGACTGTGATAAGCACTTACACTTGATGAAATCAAGCAAAGGCAGCTTCGTTGCAGTGTTGCAAATTTGCAACAGTTCTTGTCTTGCATGGAAACTTGGAGAGCACATCTTCTCAGAAACTTGGTAAGGAAGGAACAAATTATTATTATTATTACTATTATTTGCACACAAAATGACTTGTAAATTGGTAAAACCGAACCTGCTAAATTCAGATTGAGTCGCAAGGTGAATGAAACTGAGCCAGGTCTGGAAAATTTGACGATTTGAGCCAAAAATCAACAGCCAAGCTGGCAAATATTTGGTAAGTTTGTCTGCCAGGTTCAGACTTGTAGCTGACCTTGTCTCCTACTTGAATTGTTTTCTATAAAATCCACAAATCTAATTCATTCAAGAGCCAAAGCTAACACCAGCTTCCTGCAAACTTAGAGAGAACCATTGAAAGAAGAAGTAGAAGAAAGTGGAACTCTCCTCCAATATCCAATTCCTCCATGGATTCACAAAGCCAAGCCATAGAATTCACCAAGAAGTATTTCACCACAATTGCCTCCATCACAGCCTCAACAATGCTTGCTCGAACCCTCATCAATGAATTCCTCCCCAGTGAATTGCGCAGCTTGGTTTCCTCGAGCAAGGCAAAACTCTTCAGCCGATTCTCTACAGAGCATACCATCATCATCCAACAAACGGAAGGGCTAACTCCCAATGAACTCTATGATGCAGCCAGTACCTATCTACGCACCAAGATCTCCCTGCGTATGAAGCGGCTAAGGGCGAGCAAGAGCGAGGACAACAACAACATTATCGTCTCCCTCGACGACGGCGAAGGGCTCGCAGACATCTTCCAAGGCGCGGAGTACAAGTGGAAGCTCGTCAGCGAAGAGAAAGAGTCCCCTCGCGGTGGAGCAATCAAAGTCAAATGGTATGAGCTCAGCTTCCACAATAAGTACAAGGAAATAACACTGAACGCCTATTTTCCTCACATTCTGGAGAGATCTAAGGACATCAAGGCCGCTGACAAACGGTTGAAGCTTTATATGAATCAGTATGACAGTTGGAGTTGCATTGATCTGAACCACCCTGCAACATTGGAGACGCTGGCATTGGAGCCAGAGCTGAAACAGACAATCATTGAGGACTTGGCGAGATTTGTCAAGCGAAAGCAGTACTATAAAAAAATTGGGAAGGCCTGGAAGCGTGGATATCTGCTCTTTGGTCCTCCAGGAACTGGCAAATCGAGCTTGGTCGCCGCCATTGCTAATTACCTCAGGTTTGACATCTACGACTTGGATCTAAAGGAGGTTACCTCGAACACTAGACTAAAAAGGCTGTTAGTAGCCATGAAAAACAAATCAGTATTAGTGATTGAGGACATCGACTGCTCCATTGATCTGCAAAACAGAGATGAAGAGGGTGAGGATAAAAAGAAGCCTAGCAAGGATGATGTAACACTCTCAGGGCTGTTAAATTTCATTGACGGATTATGGTCGACGAGCGGGGAGGAGAGAATCATCGTACTCACTACCAACTACAAGGATCGGCTTGATCCAGCACTGCTGAGACCTGGTAGAATGGACATGCACATCCAGATGGGTTACTGTGGCCCAAACAGTTTCAAGGTGCTGGCTTCTAACTACCATGATATTGATGAGCACCCTCTGTTTGAGGAGATTGAAGAGTTGTTGAAGGAGGTGCAAGTGACTCCTGCTGAAGTAGCAGAGGAGCTGCTTAGAAGTGATGATGTAGATATCTGTTTAGGTTGTCTTATCCAACTCTTAAACAGGAAAAAAGAGGAAGTACAAGGAAACGAAGAAAGTGCAGAAGATTCTCAAGATAACAAAGAGAAAGATGGAGATGACAAGCAAATAGATGAAGAGAAGCAGCAGGTGGGAGCTAAAACTGTGGTAAGCGACTAGGAAGCTAATGTGACTATTCTTAGCGGTGCTCTTCAGAACTACGTGAGCAGATTGTGGTCAGCCAAAGTTGTTGTATCAGAATAGGTAATCAACCAAAAATTTTTAGCTTAATTTTGATCGGCCACTTTTCTTGACGAGTTGAGAGCCTAAGAAGCATTTGTAGATCTTTAAAATGATTGTATGATTGAGGTGTGATTATTCCTTTCCCCGTGAAAGAAGTTGCAGATTCGATTGTGATATATCACTTTTCTAACAAGGCATATCCAAGCATACCAAAAAAAAAAAAAACTAGTCTTTCACTTCATTTAGCTTACAAGTTTCTGGAAGAATTTGCAGCAAATGAAGGCAACGAACGAATTTATTGAATGAATACCGAAATATTAGTCATATAGGATAAAAATGAAAGTAGAGATTAATCAGAATGAAGTGAGGGCATGGAGGAAACCATAATCTGCAGCAGGATAAATTCAGAATGAAGTAGAAGCCAGACAAATACATATTCCGAGCAGAAATCCAGGCTAAATCATTTATCCAAACAAAAACTACAAATGCTACAAATGTACAAACATAGAGCAAAAGAAAATGTCCTTCCTTACATGCAAAAACATCATTGTCACCGCAAAGAAAAAGCCCAACAAGTAAGGATTAATTATTCTGTGAGGACATCAAACGCCGTGCGGAGACCAACCAGAATGTGCCACATCACCCTTTTGCTCGGTACCTCGGCTTGGTACTGACGTGGTAGTCAATAGAGAACCTGCACAGGGAAACAAGCTAGAACAAAGGAATGGAGAGTTCTGTGATAGAACAAAACCAAAATTTTGTATATTTGTCCATTCTTTGATAACTGGAAGCTTATATATGTTGCTAATACTTTCTTCTATAAAAAGCTGTTAATAGGTATCATGAACATGCAGTACTATGTTAGCTAAAAGAGTAAAAGAGTAGTGGAAAGGAATTAGGTTGTTATAACAGAACAACCATAGTAGTGGAGACGCCATATAAGGTATGCTAGTCCTGCTGAATAGGAGAAGCCTTAGGATGCTCTGTATCAGGTACCGTTGACATGTCGGATTCTAGTTGGTCTCCGGACATCGTTCTGTGTCCGGTCCGCACAGAATAATTTCTCACGAGGCACAACAAAATGCTCTTCCCTAGGAGAAATTATTGCGCGCGGAGTCCAGATGTAGCTCGCGTTTGAAATCCAATGAAAAACGGGCACGTTGCCAATACCGTACAACTTTGTACACATTATGTATTAAAATAATGGCCCTTTCTTATTGGAGTCCGAATGGCGTGAGGAATCCGCACATAATTATTTCTCCTCCTTCCCTAGGCCCAAGAACATTCATTATCCCCCACAGAGAAAAGCACCAAATATCTTAGGCCCAATAAATAGAAAACATGACCAATTACACGGGATGTGATGAAGAGATAAAAGGAAACAAAATATTTATCTCATTAATATGAATTCAATCAAGAGCAACATGACTGCTCCAATACTACAAGCAAAATAAGTCTAAAAGAAATAATAATATAAATGAAACTACTCAACCCTTAAAATGAAATGCATAATAATTTGCTACAAAATATAAAATACCAAATATATATAGTCTACTACTGATAAAGGGGTAAAAGCTCCTAGGATGATGGTTCGCTAATCACACAAGGAGGATATGACGTAAAGAGAGTGAGTTTGATCAAACCCAATAAGCATCTCCTACTATTAAAGCATAAATGATAAAGGAATTGTGCATACAATATAACCAATCTACAGGTAAAAATAGTGATTGGAAATCAATGTGTCACTATTACAATACTATATGCTGGTGCTACGAGTGTATATGACAAATCACTATTAAAGCCAAATCATTTCATTGTTTATAAATGCAATCAGACTAAGTATCATCATAACTCCAAATGACTTATCAGTCATTCATTGTTTTTAATTCATGTCCAATTATATATTTATACATCTATATGTATATAGTTATAGTCAGTTTATCAAATACTCATCGGGAAGGTAAACACAAACCTAAAGAAATCCAATATTTTTCAATAGAGGCGTCACTCTAAGGTTCCGTCGGTCCATCTAGCAAAAATTCAATAGGGTTCTACTAACACATAATCATGCAATGCAAGTGCTTTAATAAATAACCAACATATATTATATAAATCAACATGATGACAATAATTGTATAACCAATATGATTTACAACAAGAGTATCATTTATTGTATTAAACAGATATGATATATATATGAATTAAATTTTCTACATCATGAATCATTTTAAATGTTAAAAACACTTGCATCAATAAATCAAAGTGACATTATTTCTACAATTCTACTACATGATACATTTAATATGAGCAATAAATAAGATACCTAACATGCACAAATACTTATAAACAAATATCAAAAATAGAACTGACAATCTAATATTCAAAAGACTAGCACAAGAATTAAGGATAGCGCCCCTAACAAAGAAGTGTGTGTTTATCTCTTAATGAATAATAGTTACTTATCCATACAAGCTACACAAAACTTCAAGCATACTAGATATTCAACTTACAAACCTATGGGGGAAATGACTCTATGGTCCTAAAAATGAGGATATTAACTTAATAAAGAATTAAATATGCCTATCATAAGGTGGAATTTAATAAACATCCATAAATAAAATAATTAAGAACATAAGTATAATTAAAATATAACATAATATAATCCATGGTAAATACCGAGACAAGAAAAAAAAACATTCATGGGTCTTGGCAGACCCCGGTTCGATGAAAGGAATTAAATTCTTTATTTTCATGATCTAAATAAGATTATAAAGGAAGCATGGGAGAAAGAAATATTTTGATTTATAAAGAAGGGCCTTTCGCGCTCTCGGAGTGAGGACTACTAGGGTTTTTTCCTTCCCTTGCTTCCTGCTGACTTATCTCTTCCTCTTCCCTCCTTCGGTGCAGCTGGAGGATTTTTTCTTCTAGTTTTCATGGACGCCGCCCTTCTTTCCTCTGACTTACCACTGCTTGTCCCGTCATCTGGTGGGATGGTGAATACTCCCCCGAGAAATTAGAATATGGTATTTGCTTCAGACAGCAACACCCCAAAAGCCCTGAATCTCTCTCACTACCCTTCGGAATATGATATTATACCTTTCTCGAGCGACAAGCTATCCAAGGGTGGTGAAGACTGGAACTTATGTTTGGTTGGGTATTCGATAGGGCGTAGGCCTTTCTATGAGTCACTGTTGGGAGCAATAAAAAAACATGGAGTTTAAAAGGTACTGTTAAGCTCTTATCCTTAAGTGACAAATTTTTTCTTCTTCGATTCTCTTGTTGCGAAGACTACGACATGGTCTGATTGAGAGGGATTTGGTTCTTTCTGGGTAAGTCATTTGTGCTTCAAAAATGACATCCGAAGTTTAAACCGAAGAGGGAGGACTTCTCTTCGGTTCCTATCTGGGTGAAAATCCATGATCTGCCTCTTGCATGTTGGAATTCAGAGGGCATCTCAAGGATTGCTAGCAAGATTGGGGTTCCGTTTGCTGCTGATAACCTGACTGAACAAAAGACGCGGCTTACTTTCGCCAGAATTTGTGTTCTTGTTGTCTGTAAATCTTCATACCTGGAGGAGATTTAGGTATCTCTGGATGGTGATGTGGTAAGCTTGAAAGTACAATATGAATGGCGTCCATTCCCTTGTGAGCACTGTAAGTCTTTAATGCATTATTCATCTACTTGTCCATCAAAACCCGATTATGCTTCTAATGATCAAGATAAGGAGGCGACTAAGAAATATGGTAGGAGCTTCAATAGAAAGCCCCATAATTGTTTCTCCTCTAGGTCTCAGAACTATTCTAGACCACCTCAGTCTAATAATGTGCTCAAAGATCCCCCTATACATGATCCAAAACACAATTTGGCTACTACATCTCAAAACATGCCAACCTCCACAAATATTATTGTTCAACCCCTTCAATACCATCCACATTCCCCCTCTCCTCATAATGTTCAACCTCTCCCACATTTTGTGTTATCTGCTGATGATCCCCCTTCAAATGAATTACCCATCAATGATGTGATTGTCTCAGGCATTCCCAATTTAAACTCCCCTAATGAGGTAGTATCGTCCTCCTCCTATTCTTTGCACACCCAACTTTCTTCTTTGCGAAAGGGAATAATTTCGTCAAACATGTTTGATGCTTTAAATGTTGAGGAAGAGAAAAGTCTCTAGTATGATCTTTTAGCTGATTCTGAAGGTAGGGGGATCAATCAAAAACCAACTGACAAGTCCAAACAACAAACTACCATTATTAGCTCTAAAAAATCTGCAAGGGGCCGGGTAGCAGCCCAAAAAACCCCAGCCTCATTCGAACTCATAATATCTTTTCCCCCCATTGCAGCGTGGAATATTAGTGGTTTAACCGCCCATACAAAGTACTGTGATATAAGCATCTTTTTGAATCTTTTAAGTTAGATATGGTATGCATTTTGGAGAATAGGATTCATGTTCAGTCTTTACATGATCCGTATTTTGATTCTTCTCGTTACATTTTTTTTTTTTTTGAATGAGGCTGGTTATCACAATTTTGCTCTGTCCTCCTCGGGCCGGATTTGGATAAAATGGAATGCTACTAAAATGAACTTTAATCCAATACATATCACTCCCCAAATCATATCTGGGACTGTTTCGGTTTCATCCCCTTTTTAGCTTTTTGCTATTTATGCTTTTAACATTAGTCTTGTGTGTGGACATCTATTGCTAAGATTGCTCCCGCTAATGACTTCCGTTGGGCCCTTATTGGAGACTTTAATTGTTGTCTATATGCCTCTAAAAAATTGGGGGGTTCCACTCTCACATAATATGCTTTGTTTGACTTCAACAATATGATTTTCAACAATAGTCTTGTGGATTTACATTATGTTTGCTGCAAATACACTTGGTTAAATCAACACTCGGATAATCCTATTCATATAAAATTAGACAGAATTCTTATGAATGAGGGTTGGATGAATGCTTTTACTGATTCTTACTATTCATATCAAAGCCCGTCGTGTTCTAATCATTGCCCGATCATTTTGCATTCTGGAGTATTTTCCAAGGTGCATCACAGGTTTCTTTTTAAAAACTACTGGACCAAAATAGATAATTATTGGGCTCATCTTATAAAGGTTTTCTCTAAGCCTTTTTACTGGGAATCCTCTCTCTCACTTTTGCAATACCTTGAGACAA